CATGTACTGCACACACACACACACACACACACACACACACACACACACACAAATAGGTTACAAATGTGTTGTTTGGCGTGTGAGGCTGCTTACTGAATCAGTCTTGCACGCTTGCACACACACTCACACACACATGGAGCTTTTCGAGGCTGGTAATTAGTCGAAGCAGTAAGGTGATAACAAGCGCCAGCCACACGTTTGCAACAGATGTGTCAATGCCAACGTGTTGCCGGAAGTCACAGCCCCACCTATCACACTCTCTTTCCCCCCTTTCCCAGGCGGATACCCTTAAACGCAGATGTACATGCACACACACAGACTTTAACAAGCAAGATAATAGGACCATTTCCAACACACTTCACCTTTTACTGAAACAGAATATGTGTATCTAGGTAGTGTATATGACTCCCCCATGTCCTCCTCTCTCCTGCTTCCTTCCACTTTTGCTCTTGCCTGTCTCTCCACCCACTCCTCCTCCTCCATCTACACGATCTATGAGTCATCTGATCCAAAAGGTGAGATGCTGCATTCAGTAGATTATTTTCATCTTGTCTTGTTACATGAGAGGCTATCTTAACTTTTCTTTCGTCCTCATTTTATCTCCCTCTTTGGCTTTCATCCATCTGTCAACCGTGCTACAAGTTGAAACCTTGTTGCTTATGACAGAATATTTTGCGGTCTGAGATCATGTCATGATATGCTGCACCCCCTGAATGCACTTCATATTAGCCCCGTATGGTCCTCTGGAGTGGGAGGTTTCCATCTCTGCCTTCGCATCAATCGCCACATCGTCTCATGTCTCTCCTCTCTCCCTTCTCTTCTTTCAGGTTGTGGAAACAGCAGTATGAGTGGCGACATGTACAGCGCCGGCTACCACTCCATCACCAACATAGACTACTCCTCAGTGTGCATCAGTACAATGAGCGCCAGGTACAGTCACTGCCCAGGTATGACCTGGCATGAGATGGACGTGCGCCAGCTCTCCTTCCCCGATGCGTCCTTCGATGTCATCCTAGAAAAGGCCACGCTGGATGCCATCATGGTAGAAGAGAAGACACCATGGGAAGTGTCCACTCAGACTGCTGGTTTCATTCACAAGGCACTCACAGAGGTATTGTTAAAAATGAATCCTCATAAGGGTTGGATATTTCTTGAATTGAGATCCTGAGTTTTATTGGAAATTCTTGCCAAAACTGATTCAATTCTGTAAAAACACGCGTGGCATGCATTTTATTTAACCAGCCCGAATGTATTAAAACTACTGTAAGAAAAAGGATAACAAATACAGCCTGATTGGCATTATGTTTTTTCCACCACAAAGATACTTTTTAGAGTTTACTAAAAATGGCTATACAATCTAACAAATAAAATCCCGGTTTCTAAACAAACATAGAATATACTGTACATTCACATATGAGTCATTTTAACCTTACCCATTAGTTACTAATGAGAAAAATGACATCTGCACTCTGATAAAATCCTAGGACAATGTTGTGTACATTTGTGTTATTCCTAAATTCAATAAAATAATTATACAGACAACACATATTGAACATATAGGTGTACACCATGTCTGTACAGTGCCTCCTCCTATGAACAATGAAGAAACACGGTAAATGGACTTGTATTTATACAGCACCTTTTTGGACTACTGAGCACTCAGTGCTTTACAGCGCTTGTCACATTCACTCATCCACACACACATTTATAGACTGATAACAGAGGCTACCATGCAAGGTATTTAGGGTTCAGTATCTAGCTTTGACTGCACAGGGGGAGTCGGGAACCAACAAACCTCTGATTACTAGACCACCCGCTCTACCACCTGAACCACAGTCGTGTCCGCCACAGCAGGGAAAAAAACTACCTTAACTAACCTTAAAAGCACCTGTGAATATCTTAAACAAGCCCATTAGCCTGAACTCAGGCCCATTCAGGTTCAGGTCTGTGATTACTGCCTGATTACTTTTTATACTACGGCTATAAGACGATTTTCTTTAGGAATACTATTTTCTGCCGTTGCTGTGATAAACATAACAAAAAGCCTACTTAAAATATACTGTACACTGTAGATTGGTCCAATTTTACTGATCCGTCTTCTATAAGAGTCTTTACACGCCTACTGTATGATGCTTTGAATGCTCTGTCACACTCAGAGTTTATCTGTAAATGACTTCTCTCTGACAGTGAAATTGGTAATAGTGGCACTTTACATTTCCACTCCATCTCCGCAGCCCATCAGTTGACTTACATGACGTCGAGTGCCCTTCAGCTGCTGGCTGCACCACTAACCACCACTGTGTCACTGTGACAATGACAATGTTTTGGCCATTAGCCATGCTTGACCTTGACACACTAAGACAAGAGAACACTGCTATCAACTGAAGTAGGTGACTCTAAGCTCTGAATGGAGAAGAATTACTCATGATGTACTCACTGCTGCATTTGGAGCACTGCTAAATGAGTTTAGTTTGTAATTACAGGTATAGTTTAGGCTCAATACATAGACTGAATATATAATTACAGTAAATGCTACAGTGGAAAAGGTCACATTGTGTGAATCACTTTAATGGATGCAGGTAGAGGGGTCTAAGTGCAACCGATGTTAAGTTTAAACAAAAAAAAAAAGCTGGCCTTTTTACCCGCTATTTGAAATTGATACGAATGAAAATATTGTGGTGCTTTTCAGTTGAATATTTTACTGAAAATGTTGCAGTATGCACAATGTTTATGCTGATGATTTAGATTTGGCATTGAGTAATGTAGTGAAGCTTAGTGCTTAAATCACCTGGCCTATGATTGTGTCAAAGACTGTGTTCAGTCTCGGTAAAATTGGCCACTGGCAGGCTGCTAAGCACGGCTCCGTTGCCCAGCCCTGGCCCAGCTGCTCATTCCTCATCCCCGATCAGTGATGAAAATGAGTTAGTTCCAGCTGTATAGTACAATGTAATTTACAGTTTTTATTTTCTCTACTTTATAAGAGGTTGTGTCTTGTACTCCAATGTGGGGGGCCTTCCTAAAAAGCATTGTAAAACGCAACAGCATGGAGCAAATGAAAGTAAGAACGGTCAGACCAGCTTTCACCTGGCAAAAGTTACTTCTACCCCTTAAAGTGTAAATTGTTAGTTCCTATTCTTTGAACTAAAGTTTTTGAAAAAGCAACAGCCCTAATTGATACAGCTTTGTGCAGTCACTGGGTAAAATAGATGTCTTGTTAAAATAAATGCATTTCTTGTTTTATTCATTCCAACAGTCATCCGTGAGAGGAGAATAATGTTATCAGGCTGAAGTATTTAAAGGATCTTTTGATCACGACCAATCAACTCAGGTTTTAATGCTACGAGCTTAACCGGGGACAAGCTCGACTCAAGAAGTAAACAAAGGCATATACTGTTCTGTATATGGGCCAAGTTTTTAAGGACAGCGTCTGACTATAGCAACAAACACTCACACACACACACACACACACCAAAGAGTAGTCCGTGTCCTGGGTGTTTTCCTCAAGCAGACGGAAGCATTAAAGAAGGATCAGTGAGTGTGATTGGGGGACAGATGGGAGGATTTGACTTCCCTTCAAAAGAAGTGAAGTTGAACTCACGAAGCAGCCCTCTTTGAAAGCCATAACAGTAAGAGAGTCGAGTTCTTCTCACTCGTCATCACCTGCTTCCCTTCACACCATCTCTTCTTCTCACTTCTGCCTCTCACTCCGTTTTTCCCCTCATTTCCACTTTTGTTTCTCTCACCTGCTGTATGCTCAGGGCTGTGTGGATATGGTAATGTGTGATGTGTGCATCTTTATGTGTGCAAATACTGGTGTGTGTGTAATCACAGAGAAGTCGATAGTCCTCTGCGCTGGTATATTTTTGCTCTCTCACTGAGGCTTGTATGGGTACAGCAGTCACGATTCCACTTTATGTGCATCTATGTGTGTGTTTTGCAGGAATGTGGGAGGTGGGTTCATAGCCTACTTTAATTTCTTACTGAAACATTCTCAAAAAACAGAAAAAGGGGACAGATGGAGAGAGATAAGAAAGGCGAGAAGGAAAGATGGAGCTCCGGAGAAGCAAGAAAATGGCCTGAGTGGTGAAAAGGGAGGAGATCCCAGAGGAATCTTTTGCCAAATTCACCCACAAGGAAGGAGGGATTGAAGAGAGAAAGAGAAAGCTAGGAAAGGGGGAAAGTGCATGACAGCACAGGAGAAAGAGGGGAAATAAAGAGAAGGCAGCGGGTGACAGAAACCGAGACTGACAGAAAGCTAATGAGCAGTGCGCCAGTGTGAGACCGATGGGAAGAAGGTAGCAAAGGAGAAAGAAGGAGGGAGGGGAGGGAAAAGACTGTGGTCCACTACAATCTAAAATCTGCTTTTAAGAGTTTCCTAACAAAAGCAATCATGTTGAAGTAAAAAAACAACCTGAAACTAAAATCTATCGACGCATTCATAACAAAGAATGCAAATACATGTTTCATTATGTGACGATAACAGTACAAAGGCACAAACATGCACAGACCAAACTGATCGAATGCATCAGAACTCCTCACACAGTTATTGCTGGTCTCTATCAAGGACACACATCATGGTACAATAGGTGTAACAACAAATACAGCTTTATTTTTGCTGCTAACATGCACACACACACACACACACACACACACACACACAAAATCTCACAGCAGAGGCCTTGGTGCACTGAGGTGTGAAATTTATTTCACAGCCTGACATGCTCTGTGAATCACTCTTACTGTTGCTATGGAGACTCTTTGGTTGGATATCATCTCAGACTAACACTTTTAATTGCTAACCTTTAGTCCTGTTTAAAGAGGTAAAGACTAGTCCTTGGGCTTGTTCGAAGAGGTAAGAGCTAATTTTCTTTAGTCATCTTAAAGAAATGTGCTTCAGTCCTGTTTAAAGTAGTGAATATAAATCTGTGGTTTAATGTAATACTTTATTAATGTACGTAGAGATTTTCTCCTTTTTCCTTCTTTACTTGGTGGTCAAAGTGCAGAGTCAGCCAAAGAACAGCATCCCTGGAGCCGGCTGTTGTTTTGTAGTTTTCGCTCAAGGGCAAAGAAGTGGACATCGTTGACAATGCAAGGTCTTAAATATTAGCTAAATTTACAAGTCTGGTAATCCAGCATAGTCTCAATATATTACTGGGATAATGTGGATTACAGCTAAATCATTGTCGTGTGTAACAGATGAAGGAAAAACTTTTTAATCTGAGAATTTCAAACTTTGGGAAGAAGAGAACTGTCTGTGTTTTGGTGTTTTGTGCAGACCGCTTCTCACCCAAATTAATCTGAGAACAGCCTTTTTTGTGTATTTTAGGATTCAGAGGCCCAGTCATCAAAGTTCAAAAGTGTCAGTTTGGTGGCAAAAAATGTTAATCCTCCACACTAAGAGACAACTGACTGTCCACGGTGACCTCCCTTGAAAATCATATGTCATGACCAGTTCAGGGTTATAGTCCGGCTTTAAATCATATTATCAGTTTGATCTTGGCTTAAAGGACGCAACAAAACAGAACAACAAAACAGAGTTGTTTCTCCTGGCAGAAATTTTGACTTGTCATAGCAGGTGTAACTACTAACATTAATGATGATTTGTTTTATCAGTTTTATCTGTGTCTTTGAGAGAGGCCTATTCAGATAATGTCAAAATATGGCACTTTTCAAATAAAGTGTGTAAAGTTTTTGGGAGAGTTTTTGCATCACACAGAAATCCCCTAGAAGACCATTGTATTAGGCATAAAAGTACAATGAGAGCAGTTTAGAACTTTTAAATTCAAATTTAAAATATTAATTTCAACATTTGAATATGAATATTTTTAAAGTCGAGTTGACCTATAGCAGTAGACCTTTTTAAACTTTTGTATCCAACTCACACTACTTTGTCAGTTTTTATTTTTGGTTATTTAAATGGTGTATGAATTTTAATTGAGATAAATCTAAAATATTCCCTTTTCTGTTTATGATTAATTCCTTTTTGAAAGTAGTAGCAATGTAAGATTTTTTGTCAATAGATAACAGAGCTAATTTATATTGTAGTAGAGACACAGAGATGTGGGAACAAGAGGAACAATTCAAATTATTGATCTCAAACCAGTCTAGCAC